GGGTGAGGGGGGCTCCAAGGATGTGGGGGAGGCCGCCGCCGGCAAGGGAAATGCCGGAGCTGGGGCCCAGGATGTGCTGTGTGAGAATGGGGGGCTTAATGGGTGAAGCAAGCTCGGCGGTGGAACTAACGGCTGAGAGGTTGGAAGGATTGGGAGCTTGGAACGTGCTGCAGTGCAGAGGCAGATGTAATTGGCGCAACAGAGAGGGAGAGCAATGAGGCTTGTGTTCCAGGCGGCCGCGACGGGCGTGATGGTTGAGCCCGAGGCCACGGTCTCACCAGCCACCTGCGCGACACACGAGGATGAAACCGCACGTGCGGCCGCAACCAGGCGGGCCCCCAGCGGCCCGCCAGCCGCAAGACAAAACGCCTGCCCGCATGCCGGGCCCGCTGCCCTGTGTGGCCCCGCGCGGCCGAGCGCACCTGCGTGGTGCATCTGGTTGCGGCCGTGGAGGTAGTAGCCCTCGCTGCGGCCGTCCAGCACCACGGCGCTCGTGTTGGCCAGGAACAGCAGGTCAACAAAGTTCGACAGCGGGTGGCCGAAAAACCGGTGCACAATGACAGCCTTCCAGAGCCACTGGGCGACAAACAGCACGAGGAACCAGCCCGCCGCGACGCCGAAGCGGAGGAGCATGCTCGAGGGCACGACGACGCCGCGCGCGGCGCCGGAGGGGGCCAGCGCGGCGGCGGAGGCGAAGCCGGCGCCGTCCATCAGCATGACGACCATCGCCAGGGTGAAGGGCGGGTAGGTCAGCCGGGCGGCCTGAGGGTGGTGGCGGAGGGGGGGGAGAGGAGAAAGAGGGTTGGTATGGCGCGGGGCGGCAGTCACACTGCCATGTTGGTCACCCGCTGCAGAGCCCCCAGAACGCCGTTGCATTGCTGCCATCGTCGCAGCCACGGTGACAGACCGGCGTGCGTCTGGTGCGCTGGACACCAGCTCAAGGCCGCATCATGCGAGGGCCCCCATGCATCGAAAACTGCTAGGAATATGCGCACCCCTGCCCCTGCACTCCCACCAATTGTATCACCCCAACCCCTCACCTCGACCCACCCCACCCCACACCCCCCCAAAACAACACACCTGCAGCTCGTTCCACTCGTTGGCAACCAGCAGCGTGCGCCAGCAGCTGACGGGCGCGGCCTCCTCCCTGCCGCCCCCCTTGGCCAGCACGCGGCGGGGCTTTTCCCAGTCCAGGAAGAACACGTGGACGCTTCGAATTCGAAATTGAGAGCGGGAGAACGTCGCAGGTGCACGGTTGGGTGGCGCAGGTTCAGGGACAGCGACAGGGGCAGCAGTAGCAGGCAGCGGGCAAAGGATGCATGCCTTCAGCTTGCTTGCTGGGTGAGGCGCGGCAGTGAGTGCTTGGACGCTGTGCAACACTAAATCTCGACGAAAATCTCCGTGACCCCCTGCAACCCACGCAGGTCCCCCAAATTAAGACATCCTGTAGCCAGCCGCTGATGTCATGCTGGCGCCGCGCTCCCTTAATCCGGCACGCCCCCGCTGTCCCCCTAGAAACAAAGTGCGTCCTATGATCAACACCCAATCTGCCCCCCTCACTTGATCTGTTGGTAGATCACCCACAGCAGCCCCACGGCCTGGCCCACCACCGCCAGCACCATGGTCACCCAGAAGTTGTACATGCCGCTGTCAGGCGGCACCAGCAGGTGCACCTCCACCTGACACGGTTTGTGCAGGGGGTTGCAAGGGGCGCGGTCGCCAGGTGGCAGCGATCGAGCAGCGGGGAGGGTGGCAAACAGACCTGGCTGCATCAGCAGCGCGCACCCCAAGCTCAGGCTGGAGTGGGGGCTTGGACACTCGCAATACACTCAACCAAGCCCTACTCGGATTGTTCCTCAACCCCACCCACCCCTCCCGCCATGCAGGTGCCGACAGGACCGCCATTTCACCTGCAGCTTTGCGAGTGCGAGCCAGTATAGTGACACCAGGGCCAGCACAGCAGCCAGCGCGGCGCTCAGCGCGTCTGCGGCCGCCAGCACTGCATACAGCCCCAACTCAATGTCTACCGGCTGGCCGGGGCGGCGGCGCATGTACAGCACCACCTGGGTTGATGCAGTCGCGTGTGCGAGAAGTTTGGGTGTGTGTTGGCATGCAATGTGCATGTGACATGTCATTACTTCTGCATTTTATGGAGCTTCCATGTTGTTGTGAAACACAAAAGGCCTGCACGGACATTACCGGCAGGGGCGATGTAGCTGTCATGCATCCCTGGTGTGGGCCGAGGCATGTCGAGAGCAGGGGCTGCTGCACACCCTGCCTGCTTACCCCGCACCTGCGGGGCAAGACCAGACTGTTGAACTGCAGACCGACTTGCTCATGGCACCCAGCCCCTGTGTCCCCACCCCACCCCAACCGCCCGCTTGCTCACCCGCCACACCCAGACCGGGCCTCCCCCTAGCACCAGCAGCACCACCAGCATCGTCTGCCAGGCGTACCAAAAAGAACTCGACAGCGCGGGGGGGTTGAGGTAGCTCACAGAGAAGGACGCGGGGCGCCGCGCGGCCGCGGCGTCTGCGCCGCCGGCGGCGGACTGCATCGCAGAGTACCTGCGCACGGCGCACGTTTGTGGCGCGCGTTTGCGGCGCGTGTTCGCGGCGCGCAAAGCGCGCGTTTGCACAGGGCAACGCACGGCTGTGACGCATGCAGACTCATGCAGTGGCGAGCGGCTGCCCAGGCCAGGCCCTGGATCAACGCGTGCGGCACTACAGTACCCGCAACAGCTGCAGCTGCCATGCAAAGGTACCGCACGCGGGCGACCGCCCTCACGTCCGCGTCATGCAGAAAAGCGCCCAGCAGCAAGAAAAGTCCCCTGGCCAAACCCACCCCCACCA